ACGCACTCTCTGTTAACCAGCTAGTGGAAACCACGACAGGGCACTGACCAAATTCTATTTTAAGTTTAAATAACCCTCCTAAGGCTATGATTGGTTGTACATAGCCTTTGACCCCAAAACATGACTGTGCGTCGTTTGCATGATATCACACGCTTGTCGGGCACCATCTTTGTTGAGGACGGAGGCGAGGCTATATAGTTTTATGGGACCGCAGCGGCCAGCATTCATTAGAACGCCACACCGGTCGAGGATTGCTGCATGAGGGTGCTGATTGGCAAGCTGACTTGCCTTAGGAAAGTTTTTATTATTTTTAACAGCGTGATCGCATCGATTGGATGGGGCCACAATGTATGGAGGCCCGGGGTATGTGACAGCCTTAAAGATCCTTACAAATTGCTTTAAGCAAGATATTTGATAATGTTTTACTTGTATATTTTTAGAACTACCACTAAAATTTTAGACTCTTAGTTAAGATGAAGGATAATGTAAACTGTCTAAAGATGTTAACTCCTTGTAATGTCTATAAAGCATTATGTGTTATAAGCAAGTTTGTCTGAAAAGCAATCTTTACAAAAAATTGCAGTTTTTTTATATGTTTATGTGCTAGCGTCAAATAAATGTAAGGCTACACAAAAAGTGCCTTGTATTGAAGAGGTTAAACGAATGCTAGCAATGGACAAAGTTGCATATAAACCACAAGCCAACTCCATATCTTACAAAAATTTACTTTTTTTTTGCCAAGTTAGAAATAAGTATTTGAAAATTAGGACGTTTTTTACACTAAATATCTGAATGTGCAATAAAGTCTGTAAACACTACTTTAGTAGACAAGACCCAGTTACACATCGCTCCGGCCAAACACGGGACAATGCTTGGTTGAGGTTTGATGTGTCAGACATTATCCATGCTCAGTAAACCACAACCACAAATATTATTTTCTGACACAATGAGACAGGTAATGTTACTGTGACTTTATCCTGGCTATTTCTGGGCTTAATGTTACAATGAAAACACTTCAAATATGTGTAAATATCAGTAAAGACAAACTAGCCAAGATCATTACATGGAATAAATGGACGATGCTTTGATCTTCCATTACGGGAAATTAGAAAACGCGGCAGATGAAATCTGTGCCCCTTTATTTGTTTGAATTCTTTCATCTTTCCACAGGGATAATGTATCACTCAATTAGATAATTACTGTAATCACTTTGCAAAAATTTCATAACTATTATCTATTATGAAGGAGAAATAATTGTGATGCTCTTACCATGAGCTGTGCTTCAACAAAATAAGATTTTTTTTAATTGTACGACTGCATTCTTCAGTTAAATGTCTGAACTAACAGGACGTCACCGGCTCTCGATACATGTCACCGGGCCTGAGATCCACAAAGAACAACCTCGCATTTTCAGCAAATAGAAATATCCATGTATTGTTAATTATAATATGGATAATCGAATCATTGGTCTGTGTGTTCAAATGTGTGGAGAAAAGAAAGCTGAAATGAGTAAAATATTTCAACAAAGAAAATATCCTAATTATGTTTGCGTTAAAATGAAGGATGTGCTCATTAAATCAAAGCTAAATGACAATTTACCCAAAACACATTTTTTGGTGAACTTAAATCTGTAGTTTATCCATGTTTTCTGTGTCTTAAGACAGTTAAGGTACAGAAAGATAAAGACAGATTCCCGTGGCACAAGTCAGACATACTAATTAAATAAACTCTCTCTGCACTTTCCACATCATTTCAATGAGGCTGAACATAAAATGTTCCAGTTAAAATTTAATTTAAAAAAGAGCTAAAACCAAGGGATCGTTACTGGATTAAAGAGTGGAAAACATCGGAACCATGTGGCATGAATAGAAAATACGATTTATCACTATTTCTGTAGAAATTTCATTGATTATTCATTAGTACCTCTTCTCTTTCTATTTCAAGATACCTGTCTCAAAAATGTCTTAATTCACGATCCATGGAAATAATCAGTGGCTGTAAGTGGGGATATGGACTGCTACTACGTTCTATTGTATAATTAACACTGTTATTTTAGCAACCCTTTTGTAGGACACATACAGGATTATTCACAAAAGTGAGAATTGAAAATAAATTGGAAATTTTAGGTTAAAATAATCAAATTGTAAAAAGAATATTTTTCTTTGTGTTTAGTTTGACTCCTCTGGCTTTAAATTTGAGATCCATTTTAGTAAAGAACCTCATTTGTATTAAATGCAAGATCCTAAAATATTTAGCAATATACTTATTTTTAAAAAATCATTTAACTGGTTTAATTCCATATGTATGTAATCAAAGAGGGGTATTTGCCAAAGCGACAATTCAAAGTGAAGAACGAGTGAACCAGACTGGAAAACAATGAGTTCAGCTACTTGGCCTGAAATTTTAAATTCACTTTGAATTGCTTGAATTCCTGACAATCCTCCTGTTAGTGAATAAGTCTGACCCTGACACCTACAGAAAGGAAATATAAAAACAAATATTTACTTTATTTCAACTGAAAGTGAAATAAAGTGGAGATTGCGATGAACTCTCTATTAATCCTTTATTGGGAAGAGTTCCCCCTATTTTGTTTCACAAGTTTCCCTGAACCCAAAATGTTTTCCCTGGTTCGGTATTTGCAAACTACCAAACACCGACCACCCCCCTGGCTCATTAACTACAAAGTAACTACAGGCTTAAGTGCTCTTTCAGGGTGGCTGCCATTCGTATAACCAAAAACACGTGCTTCAGGAAATGGTGGCCATTTTATCTGATGAACGCAGGAAGCAGTACTTTGGCGCCGAGTGTGTGGAACTCTGGTTCGGCTATCTGACCTCGCGAACCCCGGGGAAGCTCGTATCTCTGCCTATTCCATTTCCAGACAAGCCAGAAGAGCGCTTTTCGGTGAACAGACACTCCCAAACATTGAGACCATTTGCTCCATTTGAGCCATGGGCAACCTTTTTGTTTGTTTTCGTATAGGAACTCCCGAAAGTTGACCGACTGCTGCCTACTTTTCACTGGAACTATTTTGGGCAACAGCCTCGTGCATGGTCAGTCAAAACTTTACCCTGGTGGCCATTCGGCTAGAATACATGGATCTGAGTGCTATTTGGAAAACTTGGGCGCTCAGATCCAGGCTATTCGGAGATATAATACTTATGGGGGTTCCTATTGATATTATATGTATTTTGTTTTTTTTGTATCATATTTTGTACCTCTAGTGCCTGGGAGATAATTAGTTTAAGCTAAAGCAAACTCACTTATCTCCCAGACACAGAGACGTCTGGGCGGGCTTACTGTTGTAGTGGATGGAGACCCCATGCTGGGGGTCTGTGCATATAAACAGGCCATTAGGCCCTAATAAAATAGTAAATTTGTACCCTTTATCAAGTCTCGGCTGATGTTTGGGTACACTAGGGTTATAATCACTGCTTCAGTTCAGGACCTGGGAGAATCTACAGTGGAGGTACAACTCAGGGTTCAGGCGCTCCGTTACACTGGTGGCAAGCGGCGGGATTCTTCTCCCAAAAGAATATCCCAAACCAGGAGATGCAGTGAATGGCCTAGCAGTACCAGCTCCTTAAGTGAACAAAACTAAAATATTTAATGGAAGCTCGAGGGAGAGTGGCAAGTAACAAGCCGAAAGCTGCACTCATCGCCAAACTCATGGAGAGCGACGGGTCCAGTAACACAGCAGAAATGGACAATACTGAGGAGACCGAGTTCCAGAGGGAAGTCCAATGGAGGCTCAGCAAAGTGGGGCCCAATCCCTCACAGGATATCATTGTGCAGATAATAGCCCAAGCAACTAAGGCACAGAAAGCTTGAGAGTCAAAAACCGGATCGCAATAGGGAGATACAGCCTCCCTACAAGGATCTCCGAGTGGACAACCAAGGAAGCTGAATTATGCAGGTTTTATGACCTTCACGGATGAAGAGATGGACATTGATAATTACCTGCAGGACTTTGAACTGCAGTGCTCATTGGAAGGTCTGAAAAGGACTAGCTGGGCTGCAATACTTAGCAGCAAATTATCGGGAAGAGTGGCAGAGGCGTACGAAGCAGTACCTGACTCGGACATTCATTACTTCGAAAGAGTAAAGGAGACACTGCTGGTAAGGTATGTGGTAACTCCCAAAGCTCACCAAAGAAAATGTTGTGGATTAAGAAAAGGGGGTAGAAACTCTTATGCCAAATGGTCTTTCCTTATGCACCGAGCAGCTCGAAATTGGATGCAAGGATGTCAGGTCACCACCCTGGATGAGTACCACGACAGCCAGAGGACTGAATTCAAAGGAGAGCAACCAAGCTATCTGTTTAATAACTACTCCCGGATGACCACTCCACCAAACCGGCCACATCAACCGACACCCCCACCAGCAGCCACACCATTCCGGAAAATGTCGACCTCTGTGCCATGGGTACAACCAACTAGGGCACATTAAAATAAACTGTCCCCTTCAACACTGAGGGACATGAGATCAACCTCAGGCCCCACCAGTGAGGGCAGCAGCTCATTGTTTCCATAAAGAACCTTTTGGAGACACCTATGGATCAACCGCCCATACATCGCCCAGCTACCCGGAGGAACATTGGTCGGTGCTGCATGAAGATGACCCAGTGCAAGCAGCGGTAGACAACCAAGCCCATCACTGGCAGGTCATAAGGTTAAACAGACAGGATGCCAAGGTCTACAAGACACTGGGGCCATGTTTTTTATTATTATTACTGGCATTTATATAGCGCCAGCATATTCTGTAGCGCTTTACAATATTATTGTGACGAGACCAATATCGCCACTGTGCTTTGTAGGAGCCTGGTTGCCCGCCTGCTGCCTTTGGATTATGGCCCCATGTTAAAAGGCTTGATTTTCCCCTGCAAAGACATGAAAGCTGGGTCATTTGGTGCTTGCCCTGTTTGAGCGGTGATACCCCAGATAGCTATGCCATGGAGGCCATTCGTATAATGAAAGACTATGGGAAAGACTTTGGCTCCATGGCAATTGAACTGTATGTGTGTGCTCTGAGGGCCATTCAGTAATAATGTGCGCTCAGATCTGAGCTATCTGGGGATATGTTGAATGTACCTGTTTTGTGCAATGGCTGCACAGTTATATATTTTAATGTGTTTTATTGTCTTTTGCTGCCATGTGTTCAATGGAGTTTTGCCTCTGTCTTTGGAGATAATTGGATTACTTCCCAATTATCTCCAGGATAGAAGACTCTGTGGAACTGGTTTTGGGCAGAAAAGCCATGCTTCCTGTGGTCACAAAGGACTACGATCTATCTTTTGAACCACTGGACCAATTTGTATGAGTTTGACGTATGTTTGTATTTGGAGTATGCTGATTCTGAAAATGAAAGTTTTATGTGAATGGGATGCATACTTTTCAAGTGTAAGGTAATTGTATCACAGGCATTGTGTAAGATAATTGTATCACAGGCAGAGGGGAGGATTTTGTATGGGAGTGTCTGAGTGTATTGTATGTGTTTATTGGTTGTGTTCCAAAACCCTGTGGGTGGTACTAATGTGTATATAAGAACAATAAACCCACAGCTCTGGCTGTTCACTGCTTGACCCTCAAAACAGAGCCTTGTCTTGTTCTTGGGGGGATTTATTGTATGCTGTTCCAGTTTGACTGCTAGGAGTATAAACCTATTCGTATGGTTTTTCCTATTCAGCTGTTTACGGCATTCATATGGTTTCTTGTTCGGCGGATTGGTGTTCTGCAGTAGCTGTGCCTGTGTCTCTGAAAGGGAAGATCTACAAATGGCGGTTTAACCCCTTTTATCCCTGGTGGTGCCGTTACAATTGGTGGCAAGCAGTGGGATCGTTCCTACAGCCAGAAGGACAGCTACAGGAGACATCATTTCTTTGGGATTTTACAATTTGAGGGCAACGCATGTCCCAGTACAGCGACCCTGACTGCACCAGGATGGAACCAGCAGTGGAGTACGATGAGGGTGTCATGGATGACAGAGATTCGTTTCGCAAAGGCATCTGGTACCAGGCACTGGGTATTGTGGAGTACCAGCGGGGCGAGAGACTCACCAAGGAAGACCAGCGATTGCAGAAGCGACTAGCCCTGCGGATGCCCTTCTTGGGAGAGCAGCCCCTGGATGAATGGGTGAAGGAATTGGAGCTCCGGGTATGGCAGGAGATGTGGCTGGAAGATGCCTACCAGGCGCTCTGGTGGTATGGGGCACAGTACCTGCCCTGGACAGCCGAGCATGACAAGCCAGAGGGAGAGGAGTTTGATGGTCCTGGCTTGTCATGGGAGGCTTTTTCAGAGCCTGAGTTTGGGAGCCCTACACAAGCCCAGTTCAGTGATCTCTTGGAGTGGAGGGAGAGCAGGTATGACTGGGACGACACCCAGGAGATTGAGCAAGACCTGGTCCACCTAGTGACCCGAGAGATGGAGCTGGAGCAGGGCTACCAAGATCTGTTCCACTCCAGTGAGAAGGCTCAGCAGGGAAGCGGAGACCCAGATCCAGACCCATTCAGCTGGATAGATATTGCAGAGAATTACTGGGAAGAACCCCAAGTGGCTGGTGGAGATGGGACCGAGGTCTCTCCACCGGTCCTGCAGGGAATTGGGAGCCCAGTCTCCATTCCCCAGCGGGAGATATTGCAGGGAATTGGAAGCACAAGCTCCATTCCCCAGCGGGAGATATTGCAGGGAATTGGGAGCCCAAGCTCCATTCCCCAGCGGGAGATATTGCAGGGAATTGGAAGCCCAAGCTCCATTCCCCAGCGGCAGGCTGAGTTACAGGGGGCAGAGACACGTGGTCCTGTCTCCCAGCGGCAGTGCACCTTGCAGGGAGAGGAGAGCAGCGTCCTCCCTCCCCAGTGGCAGGGTGAGCTACAGGGATGCTGGGCGGTCGGCTCAGATCCCCAGCGGCAGTATGATTTATTGGGAATTGGGAGCCCAGTCTCCATTCCCCAGCGGCAGAGTATCCTACCGGGAATAGAGAGCCCAGTCTCCTTTCCCCAGCAGCAGTATTGGGAGCAGAGACAGTCGGTCTCCCTCTCCCACGGCTGGAAGTGTGTATGGGAGAGGAGCTTGTTACCCCCTCTCCCCAGCAGCAGCTTAATGTACCAGGGGGAGACAGTAAGCCCCACAACTGTGCAGATGGGACCGTGGTCTCTGCAAGTACAGCACAGGGGGTAGGGAAGGTCGGTTCTGCCCCCCAGCAACAGGGCTGTTTAGCCAAAGGGGAGACAGTCACTCTCCCCCTCCGGCAGCAGGGCTGGGTATCTAAAGGGGAGACAGTCTGTGGGGATATTTATGGGATGATAATATTAAGCAGTCGAGAATTGCCCACTATTTCAATCCTCTTAGATCTTAGTGATCTTTTATCAAATAAGTGAAAAATATTCCATAAATAAATCACAATCTGTTATAAAAATAGATTTATTTTTATTGTAACAAATTAATTAACAATAATATTAGGCAGCATGCATGATAATAATCAGTGAATATTTAGTATAACATAAATATGCAATACAATGGAATGGCTATCACGTTTCAAGGGCTAACAGCACCAGCTGTCAAGACTTACACGATTTATGAGGTATTTTGCAGACACAGAAAGCAAACTTTTCACAGCGATGAGCCATAAAACCCTGGCTAACAGTTAAAACAACTGAATAACCCTTTCAATGCTGGCTAGATCCTCCTAGGCATATAGTATCCTATTCTCCTGTGATTTTCAATTAAAATAACATTTGAACCAACTCAATCATTTCCTGGAACCATCCAATAAGAATAATCTACCAGATTTTTACAAAAAGACGAATTTTAATTTGTCTAAAAAGATATCTTATCTTATATTAGAGCAAGTCAATACACCTGGATAAAAACAGCGGTATGCCAACATGTGATACTTTCACATAATATATAATTATTCTTAATTCCACCTGCAGAATGGAATGTTTATAACTATATATTCTTTAGTTAACTAAGATTTCTAAATATTGAAATCTGACCGTGATTTATCCAGTCATATATCATGCTGTTAGTAAATTTAAATTAATTTAAATTAATTAAATAAAACCAGCATAATTGTTGGATGTATGTTATGTAGATATTCTCATCAGATGAGTAGGTAGTCCCAAAAACTTGATTGGTTGTATGTAGGTGCGTGAGTGATAGAGAAAGGTGGTGTTGGTTAGAAAGTCAGATTAAAATTCTAAGTATTAAGAGTTGTGTCCAAGAGAGTTTAAGGGTAGAGTGTTAGTCTCAAAGATTGTTTCTGAGTCTCTCTCTCTGCATGTCCGAATCGGAATCCCCAAACTTCAACTCCTCTCCCTATATGTATCTCCAACTTTTCCCTTTGTCCTTACTTTTAGAGGGCCAGAATCTCTGTACGTCATTAGTTGATAAGCCAATAGGAAGCCGTAGATGGATTCAATCGATGGATCGCAGTTTAGGTATTTGATCCATAGAGGGCAGTCTTGTCTAACGAAACCTTCCTATCCAGGAAAGAGTTAACTTTTCCTGATGACGATTTTGACGTCATTTGGCTTATCTAAAATGACTACCATAACATAAGATTTGCTGTCAGTTCAAAGCGTTTGTCTCAGTCTTTGTGGCAACTACTTTGATCGTAACTTGTAAAATTGACAGTTCTAAACTCAATTTCAACCCTTTCTTACAATGGAACCTTGTAAAATTTAGAAAGTAAAATTAATTACTTAGTCTTCTCTGTCACTAGTGTCTGTGTTTAGATAACGCATTCCTTAGTTCAAGTAAGTGGCTAGTTACAGAAAGTACGAAGAAATCAAGGAAATTATGTTTTTTGTTATCCTGAAGATAGCAAAATGGAGTCCGCTTTGTTCTGAGTGACTCTGGCAATATAAACTTTTAATTTCTTTTTAGCACAAAATGTCTGTTGATATAAATATTCTGACAAGTCGGTCTCCCCCTCCAACAACCAGGCTTCAACCAGGCTACCTCCACAGTAGCGCTGGCACCAGGGCAGAGTACCGCTGGTCTCTGCCCACTCAGCAACCCACCAAAGCAGCCTACCAGTAACCCACACAGCCGTGGTGAGGCACCTGGACATGGACAAGCTTCTCCTCTACCCAGGTGTAGTAACCATTTATTGTGGGTGGGCTGTACTGCTGATTGTGTGTTGTGGGTGGGCTGCTGGACTAACAAGGGCCCTGACCGGCAGGAGGTCAGATACCCTGTTAGTCTGTTTGGAAAAGAGGAGAGATGTGACGAGACCAATCTCGCCACTGTGCATTGGAGGAGCCTGGTTGCCCGCCTGCTGCCTTTAGACTGTGGCCCCATATTAAAACGCTTGATTTTCCCCTGCGAAGACACGAAAGCTGGGTCATTCGGTGTGTGCCCTGTTTGGCGGTGATACCCCAGATAGCTATGCCATGGAGCCCATTCGTATAATGAAAGACTATGGGAAAAACTTTGGCTCCATGGCAATTGAACTGTATGTGTGTGCTCTGAGCGCCATTCAGTAATAAAGTGCGCTCCGATCTGAGGTATCTGGGGATATGTTGAATGTACCTGTATTGTGCAATGGCTGTTATATGTTTTTATGTGTTTTATTGTCTTTTGCTGCCATGTGTTCAATGGAGTTTTGCCTCTGTCTTTGGAGATAATTGGATTACTTCCCAATTATCTCCAGGATAGAAGATTCTGTGGAACTGGTTTTGGGCAGAAAAGCCATGCTTCCTGTGGTCACAAGGGACTATGATCTATCTTTTGAACCACTGGACCAATTTGTATGATTTTGACATATGTTTGTATTTGGAGTATGCTGATTCTGAAAATGTGATGTATACTTTTAAAGTTATGAATAATGTGGAAAAACTATTTCTCTACCTGTGATAATTACATTAACCCATTGTGTAAGGTAATTTTATCACAGGCAGAGGGGAGGATTTTGTGTGGGAGTGTCTGAGTGTATTGTACGTGTTTATTGGTTGTTTTCCAAAACCCTGTGGGTGGTACTAATGTGTATATAAGAACAATAAACCCACAGCTCTGTCTGTTCACTGCTTGATCTCAACACGGAGCCTTGTCTCGTTCTTGGGGGGATTTACTGTATGCGGTTCTAGTTCGACTGCTAGGAGTGTAAACCTATTCATATGTTTTTTCCTATTCGGCTGTTTACAGCATTCATATGGTTTACTGTTCGGCGGATTGGTGTTCTGCAGTAGCTGTGCCTGTGTCTTTGGAAGGGAAGATCTACTAAACGGCGGGCTAACC